AAAAAAAAAAAAATAGAAATAAAGTATCACCATTCCTTCTTAGAGGAGGGCCTAATCCCTAGATATGCCTAAGCAGAAGCTTCACGATAAGCCACATATTATTAAAGGGCAGGAAGCAGAAGAGACCTTGGGGACACTGGTCATGGAGCAGAGAGAGCACAAAGTTTAGGATGAGATAAGGCTGAGGGAAGATTTCTGATGATGGGAGTGGAGTTAGGAGAAAAGGCTGAGACACAAGGATGAGTGGTTATGCAAAACAAAAGGAAGGTGATACCAAAATCCACACTTGGCAAAAATATGATTTCAGGTCTCTTAGGCTCTCTGTCTTCCTGGGATGCTGTGGGGGAGGCAAAGAAGGGGCCATTATTCTATACGTCTCAGTCCTCTTGTCTCTGTCTGACCCTCCCTCTCACCCAATTATAGCCTCCTGGAACATTCCTTCCCCATTTTCCCTCTTTCCCTTTCCCAGTTCTTACCAAGCTTCCCCAAAAACCGAGTCATATCCTCATCCTGTTTGGCACTTGTAACAAGGGACTGGGGATTGATTTCATCCATAACTTGGGAGGAGAACAGAGACCACCTGAGTTAAAGGATCTTTATCTTTGACTAAGAGAGAATCCATTACCCTCCTCTTGCTACTAAAACTTCCCCTCTAAAACTTATTTCCTCCCTCTAGAGATAGGAAGTGCTTTGTACAATGGGAACATAGGTGGGAGTTAGGGATGAGATTTAGAAAAGTAACGTCACATGTGGTGGCTCATGCCTATGGTTCCAGCACTTTGGGAAGCTAAGAATTGCTACAGGTCAATTTGAGATTAGCCTGGGTAACATAACGGGATCCCATCTCCACAAAAAATGTTTTTAATTAGCCAGGTGTGGTGGCACACATCTATAGTCCCAGTTATTTGGGAGGCTGAGGTGGGAGGATCACTTGAGCCTAGGAGTTTTGAGGTTACAGTGAGCTATGATCAAGTCACTATGAGCTATGATGAGGGTAGATTTTTCAAGAATAGATTAATACCCTCCTTAAAGGTATGTGTATGTTCTCATTTTATTAGTTCCTGGGAGAGCTGGTTGTAAAAAAAAAAAAAAAACAAACAGGGTGACACCTTCCTGTTTGTTTTGAGATAGAGCCTCAAGCTGTTGCCCTGGGTAGTGAAGTAGAGTGCTGCCGTGGCATCACAGCTCACAGCAACCTCCAACTCCTGGGCTCAAGTGATTATCCTGCCTCTGCCTCCCAAGTAGCTGGGACTACAGACGCCCACCACAACACCCAGCTATTTTTTGGTTGCAGCTGTCATTGTTGTTTGGTGGCCTAGGCTGGATTCAAACCCGCCAGCTCAGGTGTATGGGGCTGGCGCCTTAGCCACTTGAGCCACATGCATGGAGCCAACACCTTCCTCTCTTGCTTCCCCTTTTCACTCTATGATCTCTGCAGTGCTACCCTTCTCCTATGAACAGAAGCAGCCTGAGACTCTCTAGATGCAGATGCCCAATTTTCAACTTCCAGTCATCCAGCATTGTGAGCCAAATAAATCTTTTTTCTTTATAAATTACCCAGCCTCAGTTATTCCCTTATAGCAATCCAAAATGGACTAAGACAGTCTGGTAAGAACATAGGAGTGAAACACACTTCCAATCCCAGAGAATAGGGAAACTCATGTCCCCACCTCTCTGGAGAAGCTTGAGGCTCTCATGGTCTGGAGCATCTGGCATGAAGTGGATGGTGGAGTCACTAGTGTCATAGTAGGCAATGCCCAAGTATCCTGAATTCCACAGCACACACAGATGTATCTGTCCAGTGAGGAAGAAAACTAATATTTGAATCACTCATAAGTGTACGGTATTGCTATCCTTGTCATGTTAACCTCCTCCCATTTTGTTGTCTTTATTTCCACAGTTCACACCATCTGCTCGTTAGCATATGGATTTTACTATGCAGAGATTAGGCAAAGGTATTCTCATGGTAGGAGCAACCTGAGTAAGTTGGCACATCCAGGGTCACGCTAAGGGAAGTTTTGGTAATGTCATTTACTGCACTACAGTAAATGTGGAAAGGGACATTAATGGAAGATTGTGGAAGATCTTAAATATCACACTTTTGTTCTGTGAATGGTAGAGAACAGAGACAACCAAATGCACTACAGCGCAAGCGTGCGTATGAATGTTAAATCATTTTATCAAATCTCTGGGACAGGCTTCATCACCTCCTCTTAGTAACTGTGGAACCCACCCTCAGCAGAACTAAGAAACTTGCCTGGCTCTTCCCAACCCCCTTTTATTCTGACATTCCTATCAACTCCCTGCTCTCCCGACTGGAGCTCCTGCGCCCCCGAGAAACCTGGGCCAGCTCCTGGTCGTCGTCACCGTCCTCCTCCTTCTCCTCCTCCTCGGCCTCTCTGGGGCGGGGCAGGGGGGTGGGGCCCGGGCTGCGGAAGCTGGCGGAGGGCGTCCCGCCGGGGGTCGCTCCTAAGAAGGCCATGGGGCTCTGAGGATGCAGAAAGTGAAGGCGGTTCAGAAGCGACTTTTAACCCACCAGGAGGCTGGGGTAGGGCGGCGCGCAGAAATGCAAACCCATTGAGACCTTCCGCGAGAGGGCGAGGCGCAGGGCTGACCGGCGTGGAGAGCTGTGGTGACAGGGATGGAGGCATTTTGAGGGGGCAGTTCTCACTAAAGTGAGATTGTGGGAAACTCCACGTGCCCCACCCTCATTTCTGTCACACTGAGGTCATGTTTTGGAAGGAGGTCTGAGGGCCCTGTGGGCGACCTATGCACGTCTAATCTCACTCCTGTGGCAATCACAACTCCCCGGCCACAGTCTCATGCTCTGGATTCTCTCCTCCAGTTGCGACCAATTCGTGGCGTTTTCCCGCTTTTTCTG